TTTATGACGGTCACAGTGTCCCAGGGACATGTGAAGTGACCAAAACCTGCTGCAACCATCAGCAAATGGGGGGAATAAAAACCAAACACTCCCCATCCCGCCCCCGCTGCCAATCCTCAACAGAAATGCTCAGAACAATGAAAACCTTGGACGGGAGAAAGAGAGCGGCTGGGTGGGCAGGCAGGTGTCTTGCTCGGCTGTGGCTTGGGAGACACTTTTTTCAGTGCCATTGTAACTTTGAACAGTCACTAAGCGAACTGTTGTAAGTCAAGGACTACCTGGACTTCATCACCTTTTTCCTTTTTTTTTGGTCATCAAGTTTTTGGCACCTTGCTAGGTGACTGGTGGTACTCGGATATTGCCATATCCTAAAAGTGGTACAATGTGTGAAAAGGTTGAAAAGTCCTGGACTAGACAACAGTAAGAAGGCCCTGCCAATCTAGGAAAGGACATGACTAGCATACAAGATGAAGCTGTATGAAGGATATCCTAGCCACAATTGCCACCTGCTCATTGAACAGGAGTCAAAACTCTAAGACCGCCAGATAACACAATGAGTCTGACTGGGGCAGACAGACTATTCAGTACCAAAGATGGCAGTTCTGGGACAGTGAGCCTCATCAGCATTCAGATAAAGCCTGTAGTTCCCTATCCAGACTCCCACAGCCTCCAAACACTCATTCGCAGCATTGCTTAATTCGCCAGCGCTAGAGATATATAACTGAACATCAGCATATTGATTATTCCCCACTCTATGGTAATGATTGAGCTCACCCAATGAGCTGTCAAAGAGGAGTGGAAGCACTATGGCACCCCACATAGGAGGGGCTGAAGGTAGGACTTCTCCTCTCTAATCATTACGAGCCTGGAATCAACCCTGAAAGAAGGAGACAAACCAGCAGAACATGTGCCACCCTCCCCTATTCCTTTGAGCTGACCCAGAAGGATACCGTGGTGGATGGTATTGAAAGCTGCCAAGAGTTCAAGTAGGGCCCAGATGGAGGCAGTATCTCCATTCCACTCCCCCCAGAGATTGTCTTGGCTAATAGATAAAAATTGTCCCGCACAGCTGGGTTTAGCAATGGCTTCTTGAGCTAACAAAAATCTCTTTAAGGGTGGAGGAACCACTATCACTCCCTCAAAGAATTTACCACACCCAAACTGCAACTGTATGTTGTTCCCCAGGAAGTCTTCACCAGTAAAAAGGGGAATAGCTCTAATAAGCAGACGACCAAACTTACAGCCATGATAATCCTATCCCCTTCCTCAGGTCCAAAGATTCAAGTTCATCTCAGATACAATAGCTGGACTATATCCCAGGCACCTTCACAGGACCTATGCCAATACCAATGTCTAACTGAGAAAGAATCTGGGCAAAATCTTCTGTGAGACCCTATAGGTACACCCCACTCTGCCCAAAAGGGCTCTGGTCACCTTAAACAGGACTGCTGGGCAGCTATTCATGAACACAATAAGGGCAGAGAAGTATTGATGCTTCACTGTGTTTACCATCACAAGGTAGGCCTTAATAGCGGCTCTAACTATGTTTCATTGAGTTCATTCTTCACTGACCTCCAGCATTGCTCCAAGCGACTCTTAACCAGGTTCATCTCCCTCAATTCTTCTATAAACAATGGAAATGAATATTATCTGCAAGAAAAGACAGCTGCATGGGTGCAATCTTATCCAAGATTTCTACCACCCTCTTATTTGGGGGATGACCAAGGCTTTGGTCAGACTGTGCAGCAAGCCAACAGGAACAACCTCTAGTTTTGTTTGAAACCTCTCCAGATCCATACCAGTGGTGAACCAATCAAGTAGGTCCTGCCTTCCTGTATGGCAGTGGTTCTCAACCTTTTTAATGCCGCGACCCCCAACCAATCGTAAGTTGAGGACTAAACAACAGGTCGTAAGTCGAGGACTAAACCGGTTGTAAGTCGAGGACTATCCAACCAGTCATAAGTCAAGGACTTTCCCTGCCCGGGAGCGCCGCGCATGCGTGGTGCCGCTTCCTGCGCCGGCCGAGGCATAGCTGGCAAGCGGCAGAGACGGCGCAGGCCGACTACCGGCTGGGCCACCGGCTGGGCCACCAGCTGGCCCAGCCCAAGGGAGGTAAGGCACCTGCCGGGTCCCACGCGCGCCAGCAACCCTCCCTGCGCCCGCTGGCCTCCCGCCTCCCACTTCCCACCCCTGGCCCTCTTTTACTTACATTTTTAGTAGTTGCTCAGCAGGGAGGGGTGGAAACTTCCAGACAGCTCGCCTTCACTGCAGACAACTTGCAGCACTGTTTGCAGAATGGGACTTTTGGCGGGCTCAGCAGGGCAGAGACAGCCTGGACAATTCCTGTTGGCTTTTGAAAGCCAATAGAATTAGACTCTATTCAAGAGAGTCTATTCTATTGGCTTTCAAAAGCCAATAGAATAAAAGGGAGTAGCACAGCTAAGGAAAAGGGAGAAAAAATGGCAGACTACATTGTTTGGTGACCCCCGTGAAATGGTCGTTCGACCCCAAATGGGGTCCTGACCCACAGGTTGAGAACCGCTGCTGTAGGGGGAGTATGCCAAAAATCCGCTAGTTTTCAGAGGGACCACAGGAAGCTCCTCCAATTCCAGATCATATTGCTACTATTCCAAGAAAACCAGATCAGATGTGCAATCACTCTACTAGATGACCTGATATAAACCCATGGCTCTCATCGAAGCCATGAACTCCTGAGCAGTCTCAAACCCTTCTCTCAGAGAAGGCAGTCTGAAGTCTCCCAGGACTAGACTAGAACATTCCACTGCCATTCCAGTAATGGTGTCAAGGAGCTGAACCAGGAATGTAACTATGCAAGGGGGAGGGTCGGTATAGTAGCAACAACTTCGATGCAAGTTAATGAAAAAGGTCTCACATACAGCAACCTGTGGAGCAGCAAGACCTGAAACTCTTAGGGACTCCCAAATGACAGTCACCATTCCCCCACCCCTGTCCAAGGTTCTCAATTGATGCCATGCCTGAAACCTGACAAGGTACATTTCTGAAAGGGGCAACCCCTCTCTTTATAGAGCCAGTCAGGTCTTGCCAATACATGTGAGGTCAGCCCTTTTATCTGTGATCAAGTCGCAGATGAGGATCGTGCTATTGAAGACTGATCTGGTATTAAGCACAGAAGTTGAAAGCCTGGGCTTCTGAAGGTCTTAGGACTGGGGCATGAGAGAGAGAAAGCCCAGTGGCCTGGAACGTGGCATCAAATTAAGCATATTGCCTTTTCCTCACTTCATATAGATACCAACTGAACCATTAACTGAATCAACTTAATAGTAGAGATAAGAGAGCATCTCCCACCAAACTCGAGACAGCATTTAGTTAATAGGCCTCAGGGAAAGGGCCATGTGACAATCACAGCTCTGCCACTCAGTAAAAGAAAGCTTACATGCTGGTGTGGTTGCCTCCGTTCTCACCTGCATTACTTCACTCTGCCAATACTGGCTCTAACTTTGCTGACATGGATTGAATACAATTACCTCAAGTCCCTAAAAATATCCCATAAAGAGTAAGTTGCTGTTAAAGAAAATATGTTCATAATTTCTCAGTGATGTCACAATTATTTTATATTCTTTAAAACACAAAATACATAGGTTCCAATCTTATGCAGGCTCAACCTCATCAGAGGCCCCTTTGCACTTTGCAAGGTTTAATCCCGAGTAAACACAAATGGAATTGTACCAACAAAGATACAAATTGCTTGTACTGCTGCTCTCTCTGGTCTGTGATATGTTGTAATAAAGTCTCAGAAATAGATGTTTTCGGTCCTCTTGACTCAAACAAAATGTAAAGTTAGGAAAACGTAGCTTCAAAAACACATATCAAAACGGAATGCAAACCAACCATAAAGGCTCAGTTACATCAATAATCAAGTATTTCCCAACTCTGAATTTGAAAATAATCCAACCCCATCACACAGAAAAATGATTAGGTTATGAACAAAAGTATAGCCATGGTATATTAATTAGGAATTAGTCCATTGATTGTTCCTGAGTAATGTTCTAGGAAACATTTTCCATACTGTAAACAACTACATTGGCAATTATATCTTTTACACCTTCCTAGGTAAGGAATATATCAATACGTGAATTATCAATATATGAGTTATAAAATATTCAGATCAAGTATTAAATGAATGCAGAACTTTCCTGACATGATAGGAACTGCAGCAAAGCAGGAATACTATTCAAAGTAGCTCATCTAGATGTAATGTTAACATTCTTCAATTGAGACCCTGTCTTGCCCTTTTTTTTTTAATTAAACTCAGCTGTATTCCTATTTCTTCTGTTCATTCATTCATCAGCTCTTTGGAAGATGCAGCATTTCACAGCCCCAGCCACCAGAAAATAAGTACCTCCCCTCCCCATTTTCAGTGACTAAAACAAGGCACGCCATTCCTGATAGGATAAATCTCAGGGGAATGAAAAGCACAAACCCTTTGGCATTAAGGTAGGTGGGAAAAGATAAAAAGGCCAAGAACTGGCATGCAATGCCTACCACTGGAACTCTAATCCCATTCAGAAGCCAAACTCCTATTTGCACACCTTTGTCCTTTATCCAAGTTAACCGTTAATGAAACGTTATTCCTTTTGCTCCCCCCAGGTGCATTGCTTCGAGGGGTCGTGGAGGGGAGGGGAGAGAGATAGGCTGGGCAGCCGGCAGTTTTTGTCTTTTCATTCCTTCCTTCTACCCACTCCCGGGTTGAGAATCGAGGCGCCTTTCTTCCCTTCAGATCTCACCTCCACGGGAACTCCGTCCAGCTCCTGACTCTATTTCACCCCCTTCCCCGCCTTGGGTCTGCCCGGTGTCCTCTGGCCCAACCTGGCTGAGCTCAGTCGAGCCCCTGAAGGGAGCGGGGCATCCCCTGAGCCTCCGCCAACGGGGCCTACGAGTTTTCCTTCTCCGCTTACCGCTCTCCCCAACCCGGTTCCCCTTCACCCCCCACCCCCTTCGCCTGAAGGATTGGCCGATACCTTCTCGCTCACCTGCGGGCTCAGCGCGATCGGCCGGCTTCCCCGCCCATCCTTGCCGGCGAGCTCCCGCAGCCGGGAGAATCCCGACGCCAGCCCGGCCGCCCACGCGTGGACTTCGCTTCTATGGCGAGGCGGCTGTTACGGCGGCTCCTGCAGCGGCAGCAGAAGCCCGCGTTCACTGCGGGATCGCGTTTCGCCTGCCCAGCCTTAAAGGAGCCGAGGCGCTGCTGGCCGCCGTTTGGCTTCCCGGAGGCGGCGGGCAGGCCGATCGCTGCGGTGACCCCCTCCGGCAGCCGGGCCATATCTTCGCCCAAAGGCCAATCCCTGCCGCCTGGTCGGCCCCTGAACCGGGGAGAGGTACCGCGGAGTCGCGGCGGAAGAAGTAGGCGGCAGCCGCTCTCCTTGCAAAGGCGTGAAAGGGTGCCTTCGTGGACACCTGCCAGAGCGAGGGGATGCCTTTCCTTCGGCAGGTCCCTCATGGGAAGAGGAGGCTGGAGATTTTACACAGGCCTTACAAATGCTTGTTGTTTTGTTCTGTTTTGTGGTGTTTTTTTCTTCTCTTTCTGTTTCCTATCTTTAGGTTGGATTCAGGCGGATTCTGTGCAAAGTTAGGCAAAGCTTGTATTTTTTTTTATTTAACCTTCCTTTTTTATTTAGCCCTATTTACATGGCTCCCCCTTTATTAAAGTGCTCTGGGCAGCGGGCATCCCTTTATTCACTCTTGTAGGGCTTTTTAAAGATTTTTTTAAATTATTTTTTGCATGATTTGGGGTTATTTATGGGTTATTTTGTTGTATGCATTTATATTCTTTCAACTTTGTACAGTCCGTAGGATGGGCAGCTGTATAAATGTGCCAGATAAATAAATTAATCACAATCTGTATCATTACAAAATGGCACAAAAAAGAAACAGCAATAACCAACAATAATTGTCAGGACTGGAAAACAAATCGACCTGCCACTTTTATCTAAGCACTCTGGCCTTAGTGCTTGTGGGAATAGATCCTATTGTAATTATATTTTCCTCCCATCTTCCCTCCAAGAAGCTCAAGACACATTATATGATTATTCCCCAATGTCAGTTTATTTTCATTGTCTGGGACAGGCTAGAATGAGAGTGTGACTTGTTTTCTTCATGTTAAGCCATGAACTGGTTTACAAGCCACAGTAGTTAAGCCCAAATCAAGCAGAGCACAATAGGCCTGAGCAGTTGGTGGATTTATAAATTGCAGTAGCAGCATTATTATCTATAAGAAATGAAGAACTAAGCCCCCAAATGTTTCTTTGCACTAATAGTAGATCCAAAATCTGAAAAGTTTCAATATCCCAGCTCAAAAGAGGATTTGTACAACATACTATTTGGAGCACCTTTCATTTTACCCATGATTTATTGAATAAGCCTTAATAGCCGAGTTCACACAATACCCTAAGACCTGTATTGATACTTGACTTTGGATAGATAATAAAAATATACACTTGCTGCCATATTTGCCTCCTGCACTTCAAATCTCAATCATAGAGAGGTTTTTCTAAGGCTTAGTTTGTTGCCCAGCAGTCATTCTAGCAAATAATCTGCTTTATCTTCGAAGAGCCACAGATCATATTTAGAAAATTATTTGAGTTGATTGGTTTAGGATCTTGTACAAACTTGCTGTGTACCAAAACAAACTTACCAATTTTATGACTTATATATATATGTGTACAGCTGAAGGACAGGTCTGCATATGGTTCCCAAGCCTTTCAGTGAAAAAGTTGTCACTAAATTATGTTAAAGTAGTGATGAGAGTTGGACACCCCCTCCCCAGCCCAACTAAGAAATAACCTAGGAACACCCCAACTAAACTGGGTCAACAGCAGCCTGAGGCTAAATGGCAAACACTTGACACACACAATGAGGAACCAGTTAGCAACAATCAGGACACAACAATAAAGTAATTAACACCTTTCAGGCAGGATTAGCAAGGAAATTTAACCAACAATAGTCACTGACCAACAAATCAGAAAAGGCAGATTCAAACTCACCAATCAAAATTGACAAAATTGGAAACCACAAAAAGGTATAAAACCTCTGTTTAAAAGATCATTCTGTCTAGCTAGCCGGGGACTCAAGCTGAATTGTCACTCAACGCTGATCCTCGAAATTAAACCTCTTTCTGGTAGCTGGCTTCACGATCTATTTCTTCTGCGCCGCACCGTCAAGGGGAATCCCGGCTGGAAGGACCGAACGGGGGAGTTCCTCCCAACAGTAGCAATTCATAGAAATTATTAAATGATTGCCTTGAAAATAATCATATCAACTGTATTTAATTCATTATTAAGTTTAAATGAAATTATTGTTTTCCTTCCTGTATCACCTACCCATAACTTCCAGGATATCCTTCAAATATGAGATGGATCCATCTGGAAAAAATCATAAATTGCTGACTCAGCTCGGTATAATGAATGGGATCAATGACTGCTAACCTAGTGTCTTAATTTCTGAGTTTAAAACAGTAGAAAAAGTTGTCTGTCAAACTTAATGGAAAATTAATGGATTATGGATCTTTCCAAAACAAGGATTACAAAAAAAAATCAGCAAATGTTCTTTCTCATCTTAACTTTTTCTGATAAAAGAAGCAACAGTCATGGTGAAAATATATCATAAGAATGCAACCATCTTTACAAGTTTGGGGATGAGGCAGGATAATTCCATAATATCATCTAAAAGCAGCTTTGTGAATATGTATTTAGGTGGTCAAAGTATAGCAACAAAGATCAGCTCCACCACTAATAGAATAGAATATCTTTATTGTCATTGTGTAACTCACAACAAAATTAAGTGGTGTCCACAGTTCACATTACACACAAGCAAAAATCACAAATAAGGACATACATTATATACACACATCCTTCACATTCACATGTATCCAAAGTGTTATGTGTGTATAAGAGAGAGAAATTAATTTGCATGCCAATGAAATGTAAAGCTCCCACAATTAATTAGATGCTAGATTTTGATTGGTAGGTATCTGTGGAATTACATTTAATGTTGGGAGTCACTAAGGTGAATTTAATTATGTAATAGTCAAACTGGATCTAGTATAGCATGTTTTCACAGTGGGCCACTGAATCTCTATGGAAAACCTAGGATGTGATTACAAGAGGACATTTTTTTTCAACTGGGGTGAAAACACACATTAATTTTAATCTCATTATTAACATCTTATCTTCATGTTCAATTTGGTGTGGAAACAAATTAATCTTGGTCTCTTTACTAATAAATCATCCTTGTGTTTCCTAACAGTGGCATGAAAGTTCCCCATTAGGCCTTTTTAAAAGATACATCCTCATGACATTGTGTTTCTTTGATCCCTATCCTACCACAAAGGCAGCCTTCTACTGTTCCAATTCAAAGTATTAGTAATGTTTTCCTTTCTCCCTACACAGTATTGGCCATGGATCTAGGATGTTTCAACAATGATGTAGTTGATAATTAGCTCAAGGACTGGAAACTGCCCAGTTCTGTTGCTCCTTTCAGACTGCTTATGAGTGCACTCTCTGAAACCTATTCTCTGGCCTTATTTCTAGGACTATTCTATTTTTGTCTGAAGTAAAGAACAGTTATTTCAACCAGGTTCTCCCCCAGTACTCATCAGGTCTCCTACTGCATGGAGCTGCTCATGGGATTGGAGATCTGTGTAGAAGAGTAGGTAGAGCCAGGGGCAGTCAAGAGAGTAATAAGCCTAGAATCATTAGGTTCCCACAATGGTCTAAGTCCAACCCCTTCTGAATTCCATTGACTCTTATCTAGTACCAATTTAGTGATGAATGTTAGTTGACTAGATTCTTGTCAATAAATCATCTTAACTGGAACTTAATGTGTGATCTCAATTCTTAATGTCTGACAGCTGGGAGATAAAGGCCCATCTCCAATCACCAGATATCCCGGCTACTGAGCTCAAAGGGGTGGCAGCAGAAGCAGAAGGGAGAATCAACTTTTTCCCACCAGAGCACAAATATTGGAGACCTGCCTTATCACACAGCCAATTCAACAGCATCATGCCCTTTGGGGGCTATATTTTAATACAACTTTACTGCTCTAAAACAGCAGGAGAAAGCACTAACAAGATAACGTGGAAAGAAACTCTTCATTTCACTTGCACCTGACTCTTGATGTCAGCTTTTTTTTTTAGAATTACTTTTAAACATGAGTTTAGCACTTTTATGAAAAAGCACCAAATCTGTGTTTACAAATAGCCTGAAAAGCCAAAGTTCCTTTATTTTTTTAAAGCTTTTAAAATGTACTACAGCCATGTAGTACAATTAATACTTCTGCCCTTTTTAATTCTTTTCAGAATTTTTTTCCTCATTTTCTTCTACGAAAATACATGCTTAAACAGCTTCATGTTCTATTCAATTTTCTGGCATTACAGTTTTGTTTATACAGTATTTATCTGAGCAGTTGGAGTCTGATTGCATTTTGGCTAACTTAGGAATTGATATCTTAATGTGCTACACACACACAATATTGTAGGGTACCAAAATAAATTTTCTCTACTGTTTTAGTCAAAGGCAGATCAATTCCCATTTATACTCAGAAAGTGCACAGTCCTCAAATCATATTGGATTAAAAAAAAAGGCATGGTAGAGTTATAAATATCAGGAAGTATTTTATACACTTGCTTATGAGTGAATTCTAATGTGAAGGTTGTTTAGATAGCATGATAAATAAGGTAGTGGTTTGTTATTACATGCATATTTATTTTACTGAATTAAAGTGTTGATTATTATTACTGAATCTTACTCCAGCTGCCTTGAAAATATTAAATTTCAGCAGTGATGGCAAAGTAGCATTAAAAAAAAAGCTAAAGGAGTCTCTGGGGGTTTTACTTTGCTAGTTGTTGCAGACTGTAGGGGGCGATGCTCATATCTATTTCAAGGCCATTAAGCCAGTGCTGTTCAAAGACATTTCCGCGGTCATGTGACCAACATGACATCACGGAGCACTACCTTCCCACCGTAGTGGTACCTATTTATCTACTTGCATTTGCATGCTTTCAAACTGCTAGATAGGCAGGAGCTGGGGTGGGGACAGGGAGCTCACCCCTTCACTAGAGCTTGGGTCTCAAACCTGGGCTGCTGGCTTTCCAGCCGACAAGCCCAGCATCATAACTGCTGAGCCACAGTATCATCTCTGGCAAAGTAGCATAAGTTCTATAATTATAATCAGTACATATCCTGTCAGGTTTCATCCAACAGATAGAACTTGAACCACTTAGACAAGCTTACAAGATATCTAAGAGATTATAATAAACAATATTTATTGAAAAAAGTTAAGAAGCCATAGCCAAAATGATTTCAGTAAATGCTGTAATTCAAGAAAAGCCCTCTGTATAGAAATGATGTTCAAATCCTCTTGAAATTTTTTCTTCCCCATGCTGGGTAAAATGGCATTCTCTTTTGCTTCTTTCCTTCTCTTTTTGCTATGGCCAAATTTGTTTTTACCTTATTTTTTCACTCACTATGTGAAAACTACAGTAACGTGTACACATAACATATGCCGGATCATCTTCCTGACAGGTGTGTGTATATGGTTGGTTGCTCAGAATCACTTAAAAGTCCACATACGGGAGGGAAATCCTGTGAATTTTACATTACAAATGCTGGGAAAGAGGAAGAAATACAAGCTAGTCCCTATTAGAGTCTCATATTTTCCAACATCAATGACATCTTTTCATCAGGAAC